TAAACAAACATACACTAGACAGAGACTGGTGCTTGCAAAATGTCTGCAAAAGGATGTGGCAATAGCTCATTAACCATTCCTCCCAGTCTTAAATCTCAGAGCAAACTGTTCACCTCGCTATGGCGCTGGGTTACCTCCAGGGACACCTCTTGGCTAAGGTTCCCGTCGTACGGAAACAAGGGACACAGGCACATTTCATAGGTCCCTCTGTACGGGGCTCAAGACCTGGCTCCTTTTGGGGGACAGGCTCTGTGGTCTTGGGCATGGGGTCTCACCTGGGAAAGGGGGTGTCTTAGTTTGGGTTATTGTTGCTATGATGAAACACCATGACCTAAGCAACTTGGGGAGGAAAGGATTTATTCAGCTTTCACTTCCACAGCACAGCTCATCATCAAAGGAAGTCAGGACAGGAACTTAAACAGGGCAGGGATTTGGAGGCAGGAGTTGATGCAGAGGCCATGGAGGGGTGCTGCTTACTGGCTGGCTCAGCCTACTTTTTTTTTAGAAGCCAGGACCATCAGTCCAGGGATGCCCCACCTACAATGGGTTGGGCCCTCCCCCATCAATCACTAATTAAGAAATGCCCTACAGGCTTGCCATAGCTGATCTTATGGAGGCATTTTCTTAAGTGAGGTTCCCTCGTCTCAGATGGCTTGAGCTTGTGTCAAGCCGACAGAAAACTATACAGCACAGGTGTATAGCTTTAACACCTTCTGGTCTGAGGGTGGACTCTACAGGGAAGCTGAACTACAGGGAACCGAGATGAAGGAGACAACCCTACAGTCTGTATCAGCACATCCCCCAGATTGCCCAAATCATGGGCTTAGTACTTAGGTAGGTTTTCACTCAGCTCCAGCTAGTCAGGCTTCAGACTGGTCGTAGGCAGGTCCCTTTGGATCTGCTGATGCCCTGTGTTCCAAATAGATCCAGTGTCCCCTCCCCACGTCATCCAAAATCAAAACATAGTGTGGCTTTGGTGCCACAGGGCTGAGTACAGCACCTTACCATAGCCAAAAAGTTGACCTCCTTCTGATTCTTCATCAGTGCAACGTGTCCCTCTTCGGGGCTGAAGAGATGACTCCGTGGTCAAGAGAGACAGACCACTTTTGCAGAGGTCCCTAGTTCAGTTCCCAGCACTGTGTCTGGTGGCTCATAGCCATCTGTGACTCCAGCCCGGAGGGACCCAACACCCTCTTCTGGCTTCCTCCAGCGCTGATGACTACATACCTTCCTCTCCCTGCCTCACACACAAATATACATATAATTAAAAAAAAAATCTTTAAACAAACCCAAACTTACACCACACTATTGGAAATCCTGTAGTCCAACTGAATTCTGACGTTCGCCTGAGTATCACGTTTACAACATCATGCATCAAAACCTTAAAAACCATCGTTTCCTTCATCTCTTTCTTTCTGATCTTGTTTGCTGTCCTCTTCAGCATCTGGTGAGCTCCCTATTGTGGGATCTAAAAGGTAAGTAACACTCATCTCAAAGGACCTTCCCAGTTTTATATCCCTGGTCCCTGTGGGAGCTGGGCCTGGTTCCTGGATTTCTGTCCATGTGGGCAAGCACTGGAACTTTACCCACACAGGTCTGGAAGGGAGCCAGGCCTCAGAGCCACAGCACTTTTCCTGTGGTACATGGAGGAGGCAGGAAGTCTTGCAGTGTGTGGAGGTGAGGGTGTGACAGAGGACGTGGGGATGAGGACAGATGAGGGGAAGGAGACTGTGCTGAACAGGGAAAGGCCTGTAGAAAATGCCATCCCTTTGGTTCTGGGTGAGGCAGAAAATGTGGAATAAACTTTGGTGCTTCCTAGAGCTGGAATCCTAGGTGCCAGGAAGCCTTGTCTCCTTGTGATGGGGGGGGGGGGGCAGGGGCAGGGGAAGGAGGCTTCACCCTGGAGGACAAGGAGGCCTTGGCTGGCCATGGAACCTTTCTTTTCACAAGGTCCCAGTAGGGACAAAATATTTACACATCACCCATTTTAAAACCGGATTGCCCAGACCCAAATCAGCTTTGTCATGCACTAGCTCCACAGCCAGAGCTGGTCCAAACCAGAGCAATCAAAAAAGGCCAGCTAGTCCCACAATCCCATAGTACAAAGAAAGCTGCCTAACTGCCTAGCTCCCCAGCAGGGAAGGGGCTCTCTAATAGTCCCCGCTGGTAGAAGAAAGAATTGGAACCTGAAAGGAGGATTGCTGATACCCATCTGAGTACTTCATCTTACGATTATGAATATTAGTACCACTCACACACCAATCCCCTCTGTCTAACCATCCATACCTTATGACCCACCCATGAATTCCCCCATTTATTTATCCATATAACCAGCTCCACCTAGCAATCTATCCATCTGCTTTTTACCTACCAAGCTATTCACCATCCAGCTGTGTGTCTACTCCTTTATCCAATGGTCACTGCACCTCCCCATCCAGAGAGAAGGACTGTCGGAATACACAACGGTGTGTTCCTTAAGGTGTGAGACTGGGACTATTACCTTTAAACGCTTCGTTCCAATTCGAGTCAAAGTATCTACTGAATTACTATTGATTCAGCAGTGTTATTCTAAGTATTGTTAAGTGGGAGTAAGGATTCAGGAAAGAAAAACATGAAATGTTTTCTAAAGAAATATGACAATTAGATGCGTTCAAGACTGTGGATTGGACCTTGGACAGCGAAAGTTTTAACGCACATCACTGGGACAATTGATGATATTTTAATAGGGGCTGTGGAAGAGATAACAGTAATTGCTGAAATGTTTAATTTCCTGATTTTGATAACTGCACTGTGGTTATATAAGAGAATGTTCTTTTTTGTAGAAAAATTTCACAGAATTATTTATGGATTAAAGGGGAAGATATCTTCGACTTACTTGCAAATGATTTCAGAGAAAAAAATTGTATGCATTATATATAATATATATATGGAGAGAGAGAGAGAGAACGTGAACAAATGCAATTGGTGAATCTGGGCCAAGGCTGTAAGGGAGCTCCTTGTGCTATTTTGCGAGTGTTGGCTGATTACATAAAGAAAAAGTAAACTCCCAAACTCACAGTCCCTATCTCTTAGAGTTCACAGAGATGGTCCCCCCAAATGCATCTGCATGCAAAGAGGACACAGCATGTGAATCTGTGGGTGCTCATGCTCCCTGCCTCACCCCACTGCAGTGCACAGAGTGAAGAGTCAGAAGGGAGAGACCAAAAGAATTGTAGAGGGGTGGCTGGAGGTGAAGAGCAGTGGGCTCGTGAGAGCCACAGAGTCGGGGAGAGGCCAAAGGAGCCTCGGGAAGTCTGCAAGGGGCTGTGCGTTTGATCGTTAGTTAAGAGACAAAAATAAAGTCCAAAATGTCTTCTTAGAATCAGTTTTGGTGCTGGACTGTATGTCTTTGAGCATACCTTCATGCAAAAACTGAATCTCATGGAGCTCCATGCCTTATTCAGGCTATAAAGATCTAGCTATCCCCACAGAGGAGTACTCCGGTGAAGAGTACTGTGCTAGCCACACCAAGGAGTACTCCGGTGAAGAGTACTGTGCTAGCCAGAGAGGTTCCCCCTTCAGTAGCTGGCCAGACCAGTTGTTAGGAGGCTATTGAATGTAAGTGATAGTTGGCAGGGTCAACAGATGCCTGGTGCCCAGTAAAGAATGAGGGAGGCATGGAGAACTCTAGTGTCTCTGGAACACTGTCCTTGTCTCCTTCATGTACCTTTCTGTCACTTGGTCCACATTTCTATTAATTGTTAGGATCTTATAGACAAGGAGACTGAGTCATAGAGAGATTATGCAAGGCATATTCTGATGAAGGATAAAGCTAGGAATCGAATGGCTGCAAAGGCACACACCCCCTGCCACTCTACCCCACAAAGAGCAAATTCTGGGGAGATGCTAGACAGACAGAGACAGGTGGAGATGGAGCAGAGGTCAAAGGGTGAATGCCCAAAACAAAACCTTTCAGCATTTCCCCATCATAGACCTCAAGAGAAGTCTCAACAGGAAGGCCCTTGTGGGCACCAAATGTTTAAGAGAGGAACTGGGGGTCCCAGCCTTATCCAGCCATGACAGCAACCATCATAATGATGCTCCTCCACGGAGGCTGTGGGTGCAGTCCCTCAACTAGTGCTAGTGAGATGGAATGGCTTCCTTCCCCATGGTACCGGCTCATTGGAATTCATCGAGAGGGATTTGTGGCTTTGTGTGGGCAGACTCCAATCGCAAACTTGCCAGCTGCTGCTTCCTGCTCCCCCCTGACACAGAACGGGAGAAGAAGTGCCCTCCCGCTCAGGCTGGGTGACGGTTGAACAGGCATCAGCTGCTCGGCACTTCCAGCCTCCTTCTTCTTGGTGCCTTGGACTCTGCAGCTTCACCCACCTAACCCATCTAGACCCCAGGCCAGACACTTCCTGGTAAAATGAAATCTTGGGGAGCACAGTACATGTTGATCAGCCACTGTGGGGTGATTAATATGACTAACGAGCAACCCACATGTTGGTCACTTACAACGTGGCATGAAGTGATGTGACACACAGCTCTTTGAAAGACATAGAAACACACAAAGGAAGCTGAAGGAGAGACTTAGCTCAAAATAGTGTCAGGCAAGAGACTCATACAGACAACAAAGGTAAACTGAGCCAAGATAAATGCAAGGACTGGAGGGCTTGTCTTGGCAATAGATTTAGCACAGGCCATGTGCAGATGGTCTCGGTATTTTTTATTATTCTCTGGGATCCAGAATTGGATCACAGCTACTGCAACCTCACAGCACCTCAGGCTGCATCTGGACTTGTTCTCGGTGGTACACAGGGTTCCAGGAGGAGAGGGAAATGTCCCTCTTGAGCTGTCACCCTGGGCTTCTCCTGCCATGTGATGCTTTACTTTCTGTAAAGGGCCATTGGTAAATAGTTTGAGTTTGTGGGCCACGGGCATCTCTGTCTACCACTCTACTTGGCCTTGGTGGCACAAACCAGTTACAGAGGAAGATAAATGAAAGGGTGTGTCCGTGTTCCAGGAAACCTTTATTGACAAAAATGGGGTGGTGGGTCAAATTCGGCCCTTTGGCGGCCACCTCCTTCAGAGGAAGAACAGACATAAATGATGGGTCCATTGAGGGCTCTGAGGTTGAGGCATGTGTGGATTGGTGGACAGGCCTGGGTGGGGGCTTCATGTGCTTAGGTTGCCCACTCAGTGGTCCCTGAGGGAAAGTCATTTGTGGGGAAATGTTCATGGATGTTTACTGGTGTCAAGGAAGACCCTGTAAAAATGGATTTGGTACCACTGGAGGCTGGAGGACAAGGGAATTGACTGAATGTTCTTCAGTGCCCAATTTGCTCTGATCAGAGAGCTTATCTCCCTTCAAGGACCACCTGTCTCCCCGTCTTGCCTTCCAATCCCATCTTCCCACCCTTCCCTGTGCCAGCAAAGCTGATCTGTCCCACCCACATGCACAGGCATGAGTGATCTATTGGGGACACAGCAGCGGTCCCTTTGATCATGAGACACCAGGAACCAGGGACACATGTATGACTGGAAACCCCAGCGGACCCTTTGGTGGGTTCAAATGACGGGGGCTGCAGGTCCTTCCCATTGGGGGTTGTGATAGTTACCACTCATTGCTGTCTCTCATCTCTTCCATCATAGAAAGTGTGGAGGTAGGGAGCAGCTCCCGATGATGTGGGTGAAGTCACAAATCCCTGGCCAGTGGAAGAAGGCTGTGAACATAGGTGGGAAGGGCTCTGGGGATGTTCTGGGGCCCTCCACCTTGGTTCTGCAAGGTCACGGCTGAGTTTGGAACAGATTTGTGCTCATCCAGTCTCACGACGAACCTATGAAATATTTGTGTGCCAACTTTGAGACTTTGGCTGTACGTGGCAGAAACCCTAACTCAAGAGGCCTGACGGAAACAGAGAGGTCACCGGCTCATGACCAGGGCAGAAGGTCCAGCTAGGTCCCTGAGGTGGCTGCTTAGACAAAACAGCCCCCGACTGCTAAGGGCTGAATTATGAGAAAATGCACAGGCCATCTTAGGAGCCGTGTTCGGCAACCTGAGGCTCCACCTCTCTGGCCGCCGCTGATTGGACAAGGGGTTAGAGTTGGACTTACAGCAGCCAATCAGAAGCCCAGCAAGCAGCTAGTGGGTTGATATGGAGAGGGAGCGCTGTACATTATTGGGCCAGTAATTACAAGGTACACACTGGATATCTCTTGGAAATTTGAGCTTGAAATTTGGGGGAAATGGGTGGTGATCCTTAGAGGGACTTGGAGATGAAAATCACACCAAGGGCGGCGTGCAGAGGGAACTGAGCTCAGGAAATGAAGTGAGAAGGGAGGAGGAGGTGGATACAGTTGGAGAGGAGCCATGTAATTTTAAGGCTGGTGCTCTGTCGTCGTCGTCGTCGTCCCCCCAAGTGAAGTCACTCTTTCCCAGGCTTCCTTTGGTCCTGGTCATTACACATACGTCTGAATGAGTCCTCGCCATTAGGTCACACCTAGTGACAGGCAGGGCTGTGTTGTTCTCTTCGCTGCATCCACATTATCCTATCTGTGGCCTCCTGATGCCTCCTCACTAGTGTCTTGAGGACTTGAGTGAACACCCCCTGGAATTCTGAAGATTTTTCTAAGATTGTTGCGTGATGTGAGCAAGGTGTCCTGAGTCAGGCTATTTCCCCACAGGGCATTCCTAATGGGGTGGGGAGGATGCTGGGAATGCCCACAGGTGTCTGGAATGTCAGCGTCTCCAATGCGTCCCTAGGGCAAGATCTTTCCCTGAGCCTGAATAATGAGCAAGCAAGGCTGGGACTCGGCCTAAAACTGGAGTCAGGGAGATGTGGCCAGCTCTCCGCCTCACACTAAAACGGGAAGGTCAATGTGGGCTACAGATGGAGGGGAAGGAACTGGAAAGACCCTGTCACATGCCTCCTGTGTTCCCTGTCTGCCCCCCTGTGTCACTCCCCAGATCATTAGCAGCTTCTCAGATTCTCAACAGGGGCTGATGATGTCACCACTGGAATGTGACCATACTTGGTTGAGCAAATCACTGAACCCCACAGGCCTGCATGTCTTCTTCATCCATGAAGTAGGGATATCACGCTGCCCAGGGCTGGGAGGGCAGAATGAATCATATGTGTAAAGCCCTGGCAACAGTGCCTTAGCACAGCATGTGCTAAGAATAACAATGGTACCCGCCCAGCTTCTGAGAGCCAGAGCTCAGGAAGGGGCTGGGAAGATGGACACAGTGAAGAGGAGAAAAGCAAAGAAACATCAAAAGAGGGAGAAAGCTTGGGGAGATGGGGAGGAAGTGTGTGTGTGTGTGTGTGTGTGTGTGTGTGTGTGTGTGTGTGTGTGTGATGTGGGGCCCACTGGGTGCTGGTTTTGACTTGAAAGCTGGCTCGGTGCTCAGTTTCTTGTTCTTCCTTCTCCCATATAATCTCTCCAGCATTCTGAAGAATTCTGCTTCCACCCCCCAGCAGTTGCCATGGTGATGAAAAAATCTGGACCCAGTGGAAAGTTCTCTGTGCTCTTGGCAACGAGGCTGCAGCACCCTGCCTCCTGCCTGCCTGCCTGTGCGTGGGCGGCCAGCTACGGCTGCTGCCAGGATTCCAGGCCAGCACAGTTCTGATGGGGGCCCAGATCTGCTCCCACGGAATCTAGGATGGGAGCCCTTAGACAACATGTAGCCTGCCCCATTTTACAGGTGGAACATTTAGCCAGGCAAGAACAGGGACTTGTTCAGGTCTGCCCACGCTTCTGATCCCAGGGGTCTCTTTCTCTCTCCCAGGCCAGACACGAGTTTGGTGGATATGGTAGATCTGAGGACATCATAGATGGAGAACAGGCTTGCTGCAGAGAGTCAGGGAAATGCAGGAAACAATGGAACCCGGGGAAACCACCACAACCTCTGCTTCCCCTCACAGACATAGCAGTGGTGAGGTGCTGTGGACTGATTATTTGTGTACCCCAAACACTCATGTGTTGAAATCTAATCACTACTGTATGATATTAGGGGGCATGGATGTGAGAGGTGGTCATGTTATTTGTAGAGTCCTTGGTACTATTAGTAATGAGACTCCAAAGAGCTGTTTGACCCTTCTACGATGTGAGGACACAATGAGAATGTGGGTTCTGAGTAGGAATTGTATCTGTTAGCATCTTCATCTTGGACTTCCCAGACTCTAGAGATGTAAGACACTGATCAGTATTTCAGTCTATGCACAACACTCTTTAGATCAGCCCAAGCTGTGTCCCGAGTAGTCTTGGTTCAGTAACTTCACACACAGTGGCCCACTTTTGGCCATAAAAGCCTTGTGGGACCCAAACATATGAAATGCTTCTCATCCCGAGATGACTGTGTGCTAGGTGCTGGGATAATTCCACAACTGACACTGTCTCTAGCCCAGCCCTTGCCCTTATCTGTCTGCTGCAGAAGATGATCCCCAGGCTTTGGGGCAATGGAATTTTCCTCAGACCCACACGCCAATGAGAGGAGGAACCTTGCACTATCTCCAGAGTCCTGGCTATGGACACGCTGAGGCCAGGCTGGGTCACTCACGCCACAGTGCCCCTAGAGGAGTCAACTGTTGAGACATTTGTGGAGTGTGGGGACTGTGGTCCTGGTAGAACTGCAGATAGCATAGAGAAGGAGATTTGTATGCTGTTTCTGATGATAAAATTCAGATACCACAAGCCCCTCATTAAAAGCACAGGGATTTCCCTGGTACCTGATTCACAGTTCCTAAAGCCATTTCCCAAAGAACAGAGTTGAAGCCCCTAGGTTACAAGATGCTCTTGAGTCTTAGTGTTTTGCCGACTGCCTCTAGATTTATCCCAATGCCTTCCCTACACAAAGACACAGACTTCCTCTAGAGAAGGGAAATAATGGTGTAGGCAGGAGGCGGCATAAGACCGAGAGCTAAAGGGTGGGTTCAAGTCCACGCCTGAGCTCTGCAATCACAGAAGGGTCACATCACTTTCCTGAGCCTCAGCATTACCCTCTCAAAAATAGGGCTCAGGCCACCAGCCACTGTGAGTTCGACCACTGAGTCTTCTACTCCTTAGAGGAAGGGCCACGTCTAACTCCTGTTTCTCTTCCAAAGTCTAACATAGTACAGTGGTCTTGGTCTAGTCAGGGAGTAGGAACAGTCCTTCCCCCAGACAATCCACCAGACTCATTCATGAGTTCATTGACTCAACCAGAATGTATTGCCTTCACCTGTGTTCTGGGCATAAAGCAATAAGTAGACAGACTAAAAGCTTCCAACTCACTGTTGGGACTGTATAGGTAACGTCACACATTAGAACTTAGGATGCATGGGGCACTACCTGAACACCATGGAGGAGAACATCCTCGGTTTTGAAGCATCGAGGAAGACTTCCCGAGAAGCTCCCAGCTCAGTCAAGGCTCCGATGACAAGGTTACTAATTATCATTAATTATTACGTTAGTCAGCAAAAGAAGCCTGTTAGGGTTCCAGGAAGCGTGTGCAGGAAGAAGAGGGGGAGGGTTCTCTGGAGCCACACATGTCCTCTTCCTCAACATTTGCTTCCCGAAGAAACCACCTCACACTAAGCAGGGACAGGAGGAGAATTTCAGAACCACGGAGAGCGCCACTGCGCGTGTTCAGCCAATTCTCTGGTCTTATGAACTGGGGTTCAGCTCAGGTTAGGCTGGGAGAAGATGCAGAGCAGGATTGTGCAGGTGGGGAAACTGCCAGGCTAAGAGCCAGACAAGGAAAGTCTGACTGAGGCTGAGGATACCGTCTGGAGCCTGGTGTGCCACAACCGAGAACCTTGCTAGTCACACACAAACAGTGGGATGACTGAGACAAGTGGTTCTCTGCTACTTAAGACCATAAGCCTGGGCTGGAGAGATGGCTCAGAAGTTGGGAGCACTGGCTGCTCTTCCCAAGGTCCTGAGTTCAATAGCAGCTTACTTACATGCATGCAGACAGAACACTGTATACACAATAAATAAATAAATAAATCTTCTAAAAAGACCATAAAGCCCTTTAAAAATTGAATACATTGTGAATGATGCATTTATAAGCATATCAAGCACATGTGTTTATAAGCATTTATAACACAATAAAGCGGCATATTATATATTGTGTCAGGTGAATACTGCTTTGAGAAAAAGAGATGGCCTCTTCTCCCTGAGAAACAAAGGATCCCAAGTCTTGTAAAATCTCAGAGCACACTACGGCTATGGCTAAGCGCCAGTCACCCTCCAGAGGACAGTTCAATCTGAGTGAGAGAGAGGGGTGAGGCAATGAGAGATAGCGGAGGCAGAGTTGAGCTGAGTCTACCTGGATCCATCCCCAACCAGGTACTGGGGACGCCCCCCCCCCAACCGACTAGTAACTATGAGCACCTCAAAGTCCATTACAACTGTTTAGGATTCATCAATGAGCAGAAAATATAAAGCCAACAGGTCCAGAGAGCTTATATTACAGTTAGACAGATAAAAAGGAACCAGATAGTTCCAAATCCCATGGTATGTTCAAGTCAGTAAGTGCTGTGTAAAGAGAGGGAATGGCCGAGCAAGGTCATGGGGGTTGGAGCCGCAGGGGTGAGCCGGGGGCAGAAGGTCACGTGGGGAAGCTGCCATTTTAAATATAGCGATCAGGAGCTGGAAAGATGGGTTAGGAGTGCACTTGCGGCACAGAACCCCCAGGTTTGGTCCCTGGCACCCACATGGTGGCTCTCACAACACAAGCATCTGTAACCCCAGTCCCCCGGAACTCCAGTGCCCTCTCCTGGCCTTCTTAGGCACCAGACATGAATGTGGCACCCAGACACACACTCATACACATAAAAAGAGACAGAGGTCAGGGTGGGCCACACAGATGTGTGGGGACAGCCTGAGCAAAGGTTGTGAGGAGGGGATTGTGGCTGTCCCAAAGGAGAACAACAAGGAGGCCATTGAGGCTGCCAAGGATGGACCAAAGAATAGGGCAGTCAGTATGTTCTTTGGACGTCCCTGCAGACACAATGGAAGCATTTCTGGATTTTACAACCTGGAGCAACTCCACTCCAAGGTGGGTGCTAAGATGTTTGAGTGCAGGCTTCTGGCAAAGCTGGAACACTGTTTCCCACACTCATCCTGTCACGGGTTTGGGCCCAGGAGCTGTTGACACTGTGTGCTAAGGCCACTTCTTGTGTGTCTCAAGAACTCTGATTGAAAGCAGTCCCTCCTACCCTGAGAAGACCTTTGTCCCAGGGGTCTCCGGCTGCTCCACTGTGGCCTCAGACCTTAAGACAAGCAAGATGGTAAGGGGTAGACATGTGTGTTCCTGGGGTCTAACTGCAGGCCTCCATGACACCAGGTTTGCCAGTTCCGGAACTCCTCTGTGCTTTAGCGTCCTCCTCTATGGAGGGCGAGACACAACTGCTGTGAGATTAAATGGCGTAATGTCTGTCAAGCTTGGACACAGTGAGTTCTCAAGAAATACGAGCATCATTGTCAGAGTTAGGATGTGGCTGCCGTGGCTTCAGCTTGTGTCAGACCAGCAAACCCTGACAGGTCCAACACAGCTCACAAAGCTTGTTCCAACCTGTGAGCCAGATGGAAGTGTTCATTCACTCTGTGTGTGTGTGTGTGTGTGTGTGTGTGTGTGTGTGTGTGTGTGTGTGATGTATGTGTGATCGAAGCTGCACCATGCCACAGCATATGGGTGGATTAGAAGACAACTTTCAGGAGTCTGTTCTCCCCTTCTACCTTGTTCTGAGGCAGGATTTCTTGTTTCTGCTGCAGATCCTGGCTACCCCAAGCTTACTGGATTCTGCTGGCTCCACCACCTGTCTTACCGTAGGAGTGCTGGGATCACAGATGTTTGCTGCCACATTTGGCTTTGTATGTGTGTTCCAGGGATCCCAGCTCAGGTCGTCAGGCTTGCAGAGTGAGGGCTCTTCTCCGTTGAGTCCTGTCCCTCACCCCCACCCCACGTGCACACACCTAGACAATGCCATTTTACAGAGACGATAACAGGCGACTCAGAGAGACCGAGTGTCAGGTCTCAGAGCTCACAACCAGAAGACCAGGAGTGAGGCAGCGGCCAAGAGCTCTGGCGACAAATGGATTGGAGCTCAAGGCTATGCTAGAAACAGAGGTCACGCAGGACTCAGTAGGGGATGCCGGGGGAGCAGTTCTGCAGGAAGAGAGGAAACCCAGCAGCCTCCAGAAGGGCGGAGAACACTCTGGACACAGACACCTAGCTGTCCTTTTGGGGCCCCCTCAGGCCCCTCCCGCCTGAGCTTCAGCAGAAAAGACATTTGCTTAGTCACCTTATAGCT